GTGTGCGCAGAGGGGGGGGGGGGGGGGGGTAAAAATCTAATCTCCTGTGGATCTCAGAATGGGCTGTGTATTCACCTATAGTCAATTTTATTGCATTTACATTTACAAATTTATTAATAGTAAATGAAGGCCAAACCATACCTTGAATCACCGTCCTGATCTTCAAGACCATCCCCGGTTGTGTTCAGTGCATATGGGCTTCGCTGTTTTGCTTGTGGGCAGAAATAATAGTAATACTTCACATGATTATGACAAAAACATTTGTTCAAGCTTTTGCACAATTAAGAACATCAACAAGCAGGATGTTCAAATTATGGCGTGCTATGTAAACTGTGTACCCTTATAGTGTATGAGGCTTTTGCTGTCTGCCACTGTTGCTCTTTACCAGTGTAGTTGTCCAGTGTTGGTCATATTATGCATAGCTCCAAGCTGAGGTGTGTTATGATGCCATAAAACCTCATTAATTCATAGTCAAGACATTCCACTAGTTAGTATTCAGCTCATGGCGACAGCCTTCGTTAACTGTTTTATAGGGCATGGACTAAAAACAAGTGCATAAAAAGGATTGATTTTTAAATGACAAAGTCTGTAACATCAACTAGTTTTCCTGAATGAGGAGTAGGTGATTTAACAGCTGAGATTGACCTGAAGTCTCTGGTTAATGCTAAAGCTACGCCTACCTGTAAGAGATGACGGACATTCGGCCACTCTCTGGAAAGGGTATCGAAAAAGTAGTTTGTTCCCTCGGCTGCCAGAACTAACTAGTATTACGCTAATAGGACTGGTTTTATCGCCAGTTTTATACATGCTATTTTGTGCCTGGCTGTACATTGCGTCTCGATCATCTGGTAACCCGGCTGATGGGTTGAGCATCATGTTAGCATCCTAGCTAATTTTGCGTTACCTGCGACACAATAAACCCGGTCGCCGGCTGTATCTACAGCTAACGTTAGCGTGTTGCAGGTGGAGCTACTATTAATGTTTGCCTTACAGAAACACCAACCCCACGCACATTACACCCTAAACGGTTTTAAGTTTCAGGCCTGGCTATGAAACCTTCCCAGCACATACAGTGTTTTGTGTCACCTCGAATACTGCTCGACTGGAACTCAGACGACGGCTAGAGGATTCCGCCTCCTTTTCGTACTATCTATCTATCTACAGTGGGTACGGAAAGTATTCAGACCCCCTTAAATTTCCACTCTTTGTTATATTGCAGCCATATGCTAAAATCATTTAAGTTCATTTTTTTTCCTCATTAATGTACACACAGCACCCCATTTTGACAGAAAAACACAGAATTTTTGATATTTTTGCAGATTTATTAAAATAGAAAAACTGAAATATCACATGGTCATAAGTATTCAGACCCTTTGCTGTGACACTCATATATTTAACTTAGGTGCTGTCCATTTCTTCTGATCATCCCTGAGATGGTTCTACACCTTCATTTGAGTCCAGCTGTGTTTGATTATACTGATTGGACGTGATTAGGAAAAGCCACACACCTGTCTATATAAGACCCTACAGCTCACAGTGCATGTCAGAGCAAATGAGAATCATGAAGTCAAAGGAACTGCCTGAAGAGCTCAGAGACAGAATTGTGGCAAGACACAGATCTGGCCAAGGTTACAAAAAAAATGTCTGCTGCACTTAAGGTTCCTAAGAGCACAGGGGCCTCCATAATCCTTAAATGGAAGACGTTTGGGACGACCAGAACCCTTCCTAGAGCTGGCCGTCAGGCCAAACTGAGCTATCGGGGGAGAAGAGCCTTGGTGAGAGAGGTACAGAAGAACCCAAAGATGACTGTGGCTGAGCTCCAGAGATGCAGTCAGGAGATGGGAGAAAGTTGTAGAAAGTCAAAGAAAGTCAACCATCACTGCAGCCCTCCACCAGTCGGGGCTTTAGGGCAGAGTGGCCCAACGGAAGCCTCTCCTCAGTGCAAGACACATGAAAGCCCGCATGGAGTTTGCTAAAAAAACACCTGAAGGACTCCAAGATGGTGAGAAATAAGATTCTCTGGTCTGATGAGACCAAGATAGAACTTTTTGGCCTTAATTCTAAGCGGTATGTGTGGAGAAAACCAGGTACTGCTCATCACCTGTCCAATACAGTCCCAACAGTGAAGCATGGTGGTGGCAGCATCCTGCTATGGGGGTGTTTTTCAGCTGCAGGGACAGGACGACTGGTTGCAATGGAGGGAAGGGTGAATGCGGCCAAGTACAGGGATATCCTGGACGAAAACCTTCTCCAGAGTGCTCAGGACCTCAGACTGGGCCGAAGGTTCACCTTCCAACAAGACAATGACCCTAAGCACGCAGCTAAAATAACGAAGGAGTGGCTTTACAACAACTCTGTGACTGTTCTTGAATGGCCCAGCCAGAGCCCTGACTTAAACCCAATTGAGCATCTCTGGAGAGACCTGAAAATGGCTGTCCACCAACGTTTACCATCCAACCTGACAGAACTGGAGAGGATCTGCAAGGAGGAATGGCAGAGGATCCCCAAATGCAGGTGTGAAAAACTTGTTGCATCATTCCCAAAAAGACTCATGGCTGTATTAGCTCAAAAGGCTGCTTCTACTAAACACTGAGCAAAGGGTCTGAATACTTATGACCACCCAAATGAATCGACAGACTTTTATATATGAAGTCTACTTGTATTGCTTTGTGTCACGTTCCTTGCAACGATTGTGTGCTTTAAAGCCAATTATTATTCACAGTAACCCTATTGATTTAATTAATTTCTTAAATAAGTAATAAAACACTATGTTCCTAGCCCAGTTATGTTTAGTAAACTGTTCATTTTTTTTAAAGATCCAGACTCAAAAGCAAAGAATGAGACTTTAGTTCATAGACCCAAAGAGCTCCACAGTATTCTGCCTCAGCCTGATCCACTGTTTCTCACATTTAAATCAAATTGTACATGTTAGCCTAAAGAGATCAGAATAATAAGCAAACATGTTTCGCTCGTTTATGCTAGAATAAATAGCAAATTTAATTTACTACAGATCCACTCAAGTGTGAGCCCCATCTTCTCTTTTGGTAAAATACCTACTATGACTTTTACTACTACTATAGTCTACTTCTGCACATTTTAAAAATCGCTGAATTAATCGTGCACTTATTTCTAACCTTATATAACTGTTGAGACTGAGATTAGAGGGTTAGACTCAGAGTGGTGATGGTGTGGATTTAATAGACAGCCAGATTGCCCTGCTGTCATCATCCCATCAACAGTCTGTTGATGAAACTCACAGAAATCGTCACTGAGCCGAGACTAAGAGTCTCCAAGAAGAAGAAAACTAAACTAACATTTTACAATGTTTGAGTTGGAGTTTTATTGGTTGCATTTGACAACAGTTTTAATGCAGTAGACTGGCATTTTGGAAACACTGCTGCGCATGCTTTGAATACAAGCTGTCACGCCATCTCAGTGGTACTGCCCAGTGCAGAGACGACCACACTCAGGAACTTGTGCCAGGCCTCCTGGACATCGGGGTGAAGACGGAAGGGCCAATCTTGGCAGCCAAAACCGCACAGATGATTTCAGCAAAAATGCTAAAGGAAGAAGAACATTACAACGAACCGATCCGTGTAGAGTGAATGTTCATGAAGGGTGCAGGGAGCGTCACAAGTGGCAACATACCCTGAAATTGTCAGGGTCCACATGGAGCTTCTCAGAGTGCATCACACTCAGACTTTTGTAGGTATTCTTGATGTCGTCCAGGTTCTTCACAGCTTTCTCCAGCCCACCCATTACAGCCTTGCCGTGTGCGGCCACCTTCGGGTTCCCGCAGCAGCGGTGGACAGGTTGCCAAATGCTGCGAAGTATCTCTGATTCCACGGAAACACAATCAGAAACCTGAAATGACATGATTCATAAGGAAAACAAACCAAAAGCAAAAAAAAACAAAAACGCAATAGTTTGTTTCCATAGGAAATGACTGATTGCCTAATAACAAACGGCAATTTACGGGGGGAAACGAGAAGACACAAGCCAATGTGAAACTAGGCAACTTTTCAAGAGTTCGTATCTTAAAAGACAGGTCACCTGCTCAGGGCCCTCTCCAGGGCCTGGCGTCCAGTTTCACCCGCATCAATCTTTGCCCAGGGATGTGATGGCGTTGCGCTCAGCACCTGACCATTCGACCATGTTGACGTCGCTACGGTTTCCTAGAGCTTTGAAATCTCTGATCAAAAAAACCTTGCGCAAAGTTCTGCCTTCCGAGGGTTTTATTAATTTCTCAGCGCCACCTCTCAGCTGTGGAGGCATCTGATTGGGCCAGAATCTAAGAGATAAAATGAGGTCGATAGGATATTACTGGAAAATAGCTGATAAGAATAATTATTAAATATTGCAAAATTTTTATAGGACCTAATGTCATTTCAATAAAATATATTTTCAAATGTGTTTTATGTCATTTCATTAATTCTGCTTATAGAATTCTAGTTAAAATAACACAATTAGCCTATTTAATAACATTTAGATAAGCCTATTATAACATCTCCGTTGCCCTCTCTTTCGCTGATTTTCATTTATTACATTAAATATACTATTTTGTGTTTTGGGGCTAAAAGAAGGCTGCCAAACTAAAATAAATCTCCAGCACTGTCTCTGTCCTTTAAGCTTGCATAACTCCATCCTCAGGGTATTTTCAGTTTGTTGCAGTTGTTCCCTTTGGCAGAGTTGGAGTGCCATATTTTCATGAGCAATTTCTGGATCATGTATTTAGTTATTAATAGTTATGTAGTTACTTCAGAGTTTAGGTATTATGTTATGAAATCACTGCATCATGTTGTCTCCAGAACTATTCAGTGATTCTTTTGCGCATCAAAACTCAGCCCGGCAGAAGTGTCCACATGAGCAACCTTTCAAAGTCTTGTCTTTTTGTGCTACTGCTGGTATATCCTCAGACGATGTCAGATTCATTAGGCTGTATTTTTAAAGTAGACTATATAAAATAGGGCCTATGTCAGAAGAGGGAGTAGCTTGGAAACTTTCGGCAATTTGGTTTGGATTTGATAATGGGGTGTGGTGCAGTTGGGTGTGTTATAAGAAAGGCCGTTAGAAATGAATTTCATCATCTTCAGATCAGAATACTTTCTTTCGGTTCAGAAAACTTGAAGAAAAGGCAGTCATGAGTCTCTCTCTGGAGGAGACATGTCCGTGGTGAAGGCTTTCTGGGACAAAGTGCACCTGAAGGCCGATGAAGTCGGAGCTCTGGCTAGGTGACTTATTTCTTGTCATCGTCTAAAATTTATGTCATTCATTTTTCGTTAGTAATTTTTTATTTTCTTTGTCCGTGTTTGACAGGATGCTGACCGTTTACCCGCACACCAAGACTTACTTTTCACACTGGTCTGACCTGAGTCCCGAGTCTGCACAAGTGAAGAAGCATGGTGCATGGGAGCTGTTGGAGACGCCATCGGACACACTGATGACCTCATGGACGCGGTCGCCGACCTCAACGAGCTGCATGCCTTCAAGCTCAGGGTGGACCCCGCCAGCTTCAGGGTATGATCAGGGTAGTGCGATCTTGTTGTATACAGGACCAAGTGTGTGCTAGTCACAATATATTGCCCAAATATTTTACAGGCTTTCTATACCAAAGTTCATATGGATTTAGTAATGATTTATCTAATTCTTGGTTAGAAGTGGTTTAACAAGGGATATTAAAATGTGTTTTTCTTGCATTTATATACGTTTCCACCCCAGTTCCTGGCCCACAACATCATCGTGTGTTTGGCCATGTACTTCCCCTCAGACTTCACTGCAGAGGCCCACGTCTTCATTGACAGGTTCCTTCAGAACCTGTCTTTTGCTCTGTCCGATGGATGCCGCTAAGCAGCAGCGATCCAGGAGCGTCCACTGCACAGCTGCATGCGGCACGTCCTCCACAACAAGGTCAAGATCCCTTTTAAATGGAAGGGCTTGTGAATCAATCGCATAAATAGGAAAAATCCCGGTGCCTGTCCCTTATTTATTAAAACAAGCAAATAAATAAATGGGCTGTTTTATATGATTGCTTTTATGGTAACGAGCTTTATTGTACTAATAGGTTAGAGGGAATTGTCCTAGTCTCACCCACACGTCCTGTAGGCTCAGAATGTATTCATTCAACTTGTATCCACAGTATTGCATTAGAATTTTGTAGGACAAACCAAAAGCCAAAGAACATTTACTCAAGTACTGTACTTAAGTACAATTATGAACTATCTGTGGTCTTCGGGTTACAGATTAGTCAGGATGGTGGTTCCTGGGTCACAATTGGATGAAAGCCTAGCTGTTTTAGGCTATAACAACCTCACAGATTTAGTACAGTCAGCACTGTACTATTAGACTAGTGGTTATTATACTGATTGAAAATACTATAATTTCATTAAAATGCATTGCTACATAAGAAAATAATAGAGAATTATTTCATTTCCAGAGAATCATTTCCAAATTTTCCCAGGAATTTGTTAGTACTGACTGCTTGATACTTTTTGATTGTACATCCTAGGCCCTGTTTTCTCAAAAATGTTTTATTCCTGCTCAACAAGTCTATTAGATCTGATCAACCTCTCTCTAGTAACAGGTTGTGTTCCACAGGCTTTTAGTGTTGCTGTAATTAAACCTCTACTCAAAAAGCTTCCTTTTGACCCAGGTGTTATAGAACAATATCTAATCTCCCTGCAAAGCAGTTATGTGACCACCTGCACAAGGATAATTTGACTGAAGGTTTTCAGTCTGGTTTTAGAGTCCATCATCAGAAACTGCACCGGTAAAAGATGTAATTAAACCTCTACTCAAAAAGCTTCCTTTTGACCCAGGTGTTATAGAACAATATCTAATCTCCCTGCAAAGCAGTTATGTGACCACCTGCACAAGGATAATTTGACTGAAGGTTTTCAGTCTGGTTTTAGAGTCCATCATCAGAAACTGCACCGGTAAAAGACACCAACAATCTCCTCCTAGCCTCAGATAAAGGACTTGTCTCTATACTTGTTCTTTTAGATCTCAGTGCTACTTTAGACACCATCACAACATCTTATTACAGAGACTAGAACATATTGGGATTAAGTAAATTAGTTCCGATCTTATTTATCAGGTAGATTCCAATTTGTTCAAGTTAATGATGCATCCTCCACGCTGACTAAAGTTAGTCATGGTGTTCCACAGGGCTCTGTACTAGGTCCAATTCTCTTCACTTTGTACCTGCTCCCTTTAGGCAATATTATCAGGAAGCACCGCATATATTCCATTGCTACACAGATTATACTAAGTTGTATTTATCTATGAACCCTGATGAATCAGCTCAAAGTCAAACTTCAAGCATGTCTTAAAGACATAAAGGCCTGGATGACCTGTACAATTTATGTTACTTCTAAATTCAGACAAAACTGAAGTTATTGTACTTGGGCCTGAAAATCTTCTAAATATGCTGTTGAACCATATAATTAGTCTAGATGACATATCTCTGGCTTCCAGTACTGCTGTGAGAAACCTTGGAGTCACTTTTGACAGTGTGAACAATGTGTTCCAGTGTCCCAGAACCACCCCCCTCTTTGCCTGCACCCACACAGCCAACATAACCCTTCTTCTACTCAGGCTAATTCAGGCTAACTGTTATCAAGCACTAGCAAACATTTCAACTGCTGTTCTAGCCACCAAACATTTACCAACTACTTTACTAAAGGAAGGTCATCTCTGGCTTTGTTCAAACCAATTACTATTTATAAATGATGAATAGCTCCAAAAGATAAGCAAGACATATTAGTGCACTAGTGCA